AATTTATTTTAATCACTGTTAACAGCTTGAAGATTTGTACTACCGGCTTCAGAAGCAGGAAATGTGCTGTAGTCTTGTTCAGTTAATAAACACAGCTCAACTTTTTGCTTTGCATGAACCTTGGCGTGTCGCTTACGCTCATCCGAACGAGCAAATTTCCTTCCACAAACATCGCAGCTGAAAGGCTTCTCACCAGTGTGTGTCCGTACGTGAGTTGTCAGATGATCACTCCGTGAAAATGCTCGCATACAGATGCGACACTAAAACAAAATCACTGTTTGCACACGAAGAAACACAACGATTCATTGAATCATGACAAAAAAGAAAAGGTCGAAGAAAGGTAGAGGAATACCAACCATTTTCTGTTTCAACTGGACGAACAGTAGCCTTTGTGGCTGCACAGGTGAAAATTTCCTGTACTGATGCAAAAACAGTTGCAGTTCCGGAATGTAAATCTTAGATTGTTATAAATTTGCTCAAATATATGTTAGGGAAAAAAAACGCTACCACAACTAAACCATTTCTGCAAAAACAGACCAAATCTATCTTTTCTGTAGCTTCAACAAACTCTTTGTAACACAACAGTGTGACCCAAGGGAAACAATTTAATCCCCGGGCATGCTCTGCAAACCTTTACAGATCGTAATAAATCTGCAGAAACTTGGCTAAATTATCTCATTGCCAAATTTAAAGTAACAGTTCGTGTCTAGTTAAAAACGCCACATACCATCACATATTCTTTTACCACTTTGCATTTACTTAAAACACTCAAAACTGCAGAAACAAAAGCATGTAAGACCCATGTAAAACAAATACGTCCTGTACATACAGAGTTCAGAAATGTTACCTGGAAAGGTTTTTGCCCAGTGTGTATCCTCACATGCCTTGTCATTTCATCCGACCTCGCAAAACGTCTGTCGCAGTTCTCAATCGGACACATATAGGGGCGCTCATGCGGCTTCAACAATCGACTTGGACATTTACGCGTTTTCGGTGTAGCATCTACAAAACCTCTTCCTCAGTTTGTTTAAAAAAGCTTCATGAATAATACAAATAAAGAATAAAAATGCCTGTGCTACTAGCTGACAGTTGCGTGCTGTCCACTAGAAAAGTAATATAACTTGGAAAATTTTGGTTCCACCAAATCGCTAAAGCCAAAATCCCTCTAAATTTCACTCTCTGCTAAACTTGGAGGTATTTGGAACTTGTACAAAGTGGTGATACGTATTCAATATCAGTTTCATCCTGGCAATGTTGCAGATAAATTCACGTTTCCAGAATTGCTTAGAATCATTGCTGATACCGATTTTGACTCCTTGGCTAGTGTTAGTACCAAATTATTGCCCAAATAAGTCGAGAAAAATCTTTTTCTTCATTACCGTAGGAATCAAATTTCCACTTAAAACGTAATAGAAGAACTACTCGCCCATACACTACGCTCTTTAGCTTAATATTTTCTATCTAATTTAATCGAGAATATTATAGCTTCTTTTTTATTAGAATTTATACCGCACGTAATAACTGCATGTTAGATAACAAAAATATTACATCGCTGGACTAAAAAATCCTAGTGTTTAATACAAAATATGCTTTACGAAAAAAAAAAAACCACATATTTAATACTACTTACCAGTGGTAATTGGCAGTTCTAATTGAGAAAATGTTACAGGTAGCGTCTGGTGATAATAATCACTCACAGGTTCTGATTTTGTTTCTGGCTCAGATCTAAAATACCATGCTACAGACAAACAAACATATATTGAAGGTGTGAAAAGAAGGGAGGAGACCTCATGACTGTCCTCACGATCGCTTGTTTTCCTACATTCTTACATCTTAACCAGTTAAGTTATTGCCAAGGGAATACCGGTCGCATGGATTTACATATTTCCAGCTACACTCACACCAATTCTGCTGAATTAATTATATCGGTCATTGGGTCTTTCATCATGGGCTGCGGTAATTTTGGCGTTTTTCGATCTGATGTGACCCGCACTTTCGCGTTACTGCACTATATATAAAAAAAATTTATTGTACTTAGGCGCTTGGCTTATGCATAATTGTACAGGGAACTTTTTTAAGAAATGTGGAAATGCAACCTGCATTCAGGAAAATCCCGTCTAAGTGAAAAAAGTACAGTGAGAAAAAGAGCAGGGCAAGTCTGGAGTCTCAATTTCAGCTCTGCACAATAAACAAAGTTATAACAAATCTTGTCCCCTCAACCAATATCGCAAGCAAAAAAACCAGCTTTTTGTCAGCTCCCAATCCTGTTTTTTCTTGTTTTTACACACAGCCAATAATATGTCTTTAAAAACTTGCATTTTATAATAAAAAATATCCAACAAAATCAAATATGTGATTTTCCGTTTTTTTATTTTTGGCAAAATCTGAGAATGAATGCAAAACCTAAATATACAAACCGATATATATCCTGAGTACTGTTGTTCTCAGTGGGTTGATTTTGTGTAGTTGCTTCGCCGGAACATGGCATATCGTTGTCATTGCATGTCACAAAATTGCCTGTCTGATAAGAGGTTCGTTGCGTAGCAGGTAAGTTTTGTGTGTCCACCGGACTTACGGTACATGTGATGTTTTGATGGATCTAAAAAATAAAGCTCTCCTATCAACATAATATAAAAAATTCACGACGGCAACCAAATTCGGCTAACAATTTCCTGTAAATTCTAAATGCGCAGTCCAATTTAGCTGAACGAATTCCCTTCAGTTTTCGTAGGCAGAGAAGTACAGTGAAAGACAAGAAAACAATTACCAAAATCATTTTTAACTGAAAATTTGGTTTCCAGATCAAAAGGAGAATATATCTTACATGATACATAGCCTGATCGGTCGTAGTGAACCCGTTTTGTCGAATACCGGACGGTCCTGGAGGAGGAGTGGCACTTCGATTTACAACACCGCGATCAATCTAAACCAAAAAAAAAAAAAAAAAATCTAAACACAAAACAGCAAGAATTACATGCTAACTGGCGTACAGCAACACAATTTACAATCAATTATTATTGTTATCATCATTGTGAAAACCAGCCCGGTGCAAAATTTAACATTTATGTAAGCCGAAAGGAAAGAGAGACATTATATCTGAAAATCTTGCTGTTCCAGTGCTAATACAGAAGTGCAGCCAACTTGATGGAAGAATCCGCTTGAACACTTGAAAAAATCAGAACCAAAACAGAGAGGAACTGCAATCAGATGTTACAAAAACAAGAAGGAAAAACTGAAAAGCCACCGCTGCAACAGTGACGGCGAGGCAAAACAACGATTAAAAAAACAGTTAATAAAAATATTTCAGGTATAAAATTTTTAGTAATTTCGACGTAATATAACATCAACAGCGATGATTAGTGAAGAGGCAATTGCAACGCTATTAGTAGGCTGCAGCAGTAACTAGAAATCAAAAATGCGGTAAAGTCCTGATGTGAAGCGCAGAATAAAAGAAATGTATGTCAAAAAGAGAAGCTAAGCTCGTTCTGTGACAAGAATGGCTGATAATAGATGGACGAAACGAACAGTTAAATACTACATATAATGTGTCAGAGTAGCAGGTAGG